AGACCAGCACCATTGCTCATGGAAAGGTACTAATGTCAAAGCCACATCATAAAGAAAGATACAGTGGTAAGTTTGAAGGATTAGAGAGGAACTATTGTGTTGTGTGTGTAGAAGAAGCAAAACATAGGTATCTTAACTCATCAGTGAGGAGATTGAGGAAGTTCTTGCCACCACCATGGATTCTTYRCACTTAGTATAAAATATCAAGAAGGAATAGTTGCAGAAGTTGCAATGTTGCTGTATGTAAAGAGCATTGGAGTAACTTCAACCATCAAGTGTAGTGATGTGTTATAGATGAATATATTTCTATTTGTTAATATATATTCTTATAATATTGTTCATAGTGATGAGAGAGGTGTGATAAGTAGAGTAGTAGTAGTGTAGTAGTACTACTAGTAGTAGCAAAGAAAGAAAAAAATCCTAAATTTTCCAGGTGGCAACATTTGGCAACACGCGACAGGAAAAAGTTAAGAACTTTCAAATGTGATAGTAGAAATTCTACTGAGTTCTACTGAGCTAGTTTTTGGATGGCAATTACTACGCATTTTGTAACAATTGAATGCAGTGGCAAAAGAGAACAAAAAGTAATAATTTCAAGTTCTTAACTTYGATTTGAAGTTATAAACTTTTGCTCATACATCATGTACCAGGTTCTACTGAGCTGATTTTTTTAAAATGACTGCTGAATGGCTTTGCAGGCTGAATATATTCCCGGGCCCCCTCAAAACCAAAAAAATTGGTTCAGGGCAATTGAGGTGATTAAAATCATGAATCTTGGCCTTTCAATCCTGAATGCCATCCAAAACTAGCTCAGTAGAACCTGGTAGACTTTCTACCAGGACATTTTGAAGTTCATAACTTCAAATCAAAGTTTAGAACTTGAAATTATTACTTTTTGCTCTCTTTTGTGACCGTATTCAATTGTTAGGAAACGCATAGTACTATGAGTTTTGTAACAATTGAAACAGGACTCCACCAGAGAGCAAAAAGTAATAATTTCAAGTTCTAAACTTTGATGTGAAGTTATGAACTTCAAAATGTCCTGGTAGAAAGTCTACCAGGTTCTACTGAGCTAGTTTTTGGATGGCATTCATTATTGAAAGGCCAGGATTCATAATTGAATCACCTCAAACCATTTTGTTTTGTTCTGAGGGGAATCAATTCGGTCATTCAGTCATTTTTAAAACAAGCTCAGTAGAACCTGGTATATGATGTATGAGCAAAAGTTCATAACTTCAAATCAAAGTTTAAAACTTCCAATCAAAACTTTTTGCTTTCTGGCGGAGTCCGGTTTTAATTGTTAGGAAACTCATAGTAATGATTGAAGCGCTGGATTTATGTTTGAATGACCTTGGGGAATCAATCTGACAACAGCTCAGTTGAACCTGGTACATGATGCACGAGCAAAAGTTTATAACTTGTAAAATTAAAAGAACTTCTTTTTGCTCTCTGGCAAGACCGTGTGCAATTGTTATGAAACTTGTGGTAGTAGGCCTTTTGTGGTTCGCTGCAAGTGAAATAAGGGGGTGTCTAATTCCCTGAACTTTATATTTTCTCAGAGAAACAGCCATTCATTTTGTACTACCATCTACATTAAAATACTAACTTGTTACCGGATTTTTAGTGTTTTCACCCCCTCAGACTCCCTTTTCCATTGACAATTCCAGTCGRCATAAAACTATTCTAGTACTTTTTTCATTTTGACTTCTATGATTGCCGTTTGGGAGCAATCCTACAAATATCATAACAAGTGATCGGGCTACTACTAATCCTATGTRTGGGAACGTTAATTTAAGGTTCTCATTGTTAAGCTACTACTAGTACTAATGATGGGCGATCTTTACATTAATGATGCCATCATTAGTAGCTGGGTACGCCTAGTACATAGGATATCTACTAGCCCAGTGAGGGATGTGCTGGCAGRCCCTCAGGCCCAGCAGCTGTTCAGCATTTTGCAAGATGCAACCAAGATTGGTCTTTTGGATGGTTTGTAGTACATAAGCTGTGTAGAAATGCCATAGAAAATTGTGGATCAAGGGGCCAGTATAGATTTTGGTCAAAATGGAAGGGTTTTGATTCCTTGTTCAAATTTGTACTGTGACTTAMCATTGTGACCTAAAACTGCCTCCAGTGTGCTAAACTGTTCTTTTCATTCTATTTGTCAAAAAACTYGGTTCAAAGCAAGTAACAATGGAAATAGCTCTATTTCAAGGACTTATACGTCACACTCAACCTCAGASACTGTACTACTTGGTATCAATCAATAGCTCTCTTTCATTGTCAAGTTAACAAGCCYTGAACTGTAGCAAACAAGCAAGTGTAACAGATTTTATTGCGTGTTCAGTGAAGCTTCTTTTTTCACGATGACTTGCTTCTTCCCCTATATACAATGAATACCCAAGAGAGRGAAGCCAGAGATGGTCTCACAAAGCTGCATGAGCTGGCAAAAGACCCTCCAAGCAATGATAAGCTCCTGTTKGATTCCTCTTCAGATGACAATTCAGTTGATTCAGAGGGGAAGAATAAAGAAGTTGCMTTTCCTCTTCAAGCAGCTGCTGCTGGTCCTCCACCAGCTCAASGTAAGAAGCTACCATCCACCACTGTAAAGCATCCCAAGTACAAGAAAGCCTACAAGGTCCTTGTGAGGAAGAAGAAGTATCTCAAGCTGGATGAAAAGAAGGGGTTCCTTAYGAAAATCAAGGGGATCAAATTCCATCATCTCCATTTTGTCTTTCCAGGGCAAAAGGCTTTTCCCTTGAGACAAGAACTAACTGATCTAATCAATGAACTGAAGATGACTGGCCTCATCAAATTGTGTGTTACAAAGAACTGGAAGCTACATTATGTGGCTGCAAAACTGGCGTCCATACATGCTGTCATGGAGATGAGGAAGGATATCTTGAAGGCACAAGGAGGATTAAGAACAAGGGACATGAGGGGGAGTAGAAGCACTGAGCAGACCTTAGCTGAGTTCCAGTCAGTGGCAAAAGCGACAAAGACAGCAATGAARAAGAAKGAAGCTGACAACAAGGCAGCTGTCAACAAGGGGAACAGGAAAGGGTACATTGATTAGTATACCAATTGCCACATGATCCAAGACAGGATCAAGTTTGATATCAAGAAGCTTGATCCTTTGCCTTGTCCTGTATGTAACAATGTATCTACCATGGATGCTGACAAGCTGGAAGATGTAAGGGCTGTGAATGTGGCRCGTCACAAGGAGTATCTTGCAGCAAAGAAGGACTATGAAAGGGGGAAGACTCACATAAATCCCAGGCATGCCCAAGATGATGATGATCTATGGAGCGCCAATATAGATGCAAGTTCACTTGTAACCTAGATGCAAATGGAGGGAACTGTCCTGAGTGCAGCAAACCTCCTAGGGCTAATCACTTGGAATGGGATCAGCAGACAGAATTGCCAATTGCTTATCACTGTCATTTGTGTAACAGTGGATGCAAGGTTTGGTTTGCTTCCTCTAAGAAGTGACACAAGATTAGAACTGATATCTTGAGGGAGATCCAAATAAGAGTCAAGCTGGGAGAAGGATCCAATAAGGGTTGTCAATGAAATTGCTACTCACCACGTGTTGGAGGGGACCTTTCAAGCAGCAATGATGGAGGGGTGCCAGTCCTTTGCTGAAGCCAGGCAAAATGCTGGCTCTCATACAGCAAACAGCTTTGCCCATTATATTCATCTTCAATCTAATATGGCTCTTAGGAATGTAGTTCAAAAAGCATTTGGAAACAAGACTGACAAAACAGCAGTCTCTCATGGGCTGAGTATTGATCAGTACTTGCCCTCCTAGGCTTGCAGCTCAGCTGAAGGCGCAGCAGAGGAAGCCTTTTCCAGGACAGTGGCAGCCATGGCAGCTGGCACAGGAGCCTTTTAACGTAGTGCTGCTGATTAAAAAAAGTCTTAAAATTATATTTAACATCAAAAGTGCCACTCAATATAGAGAGATAATGGTTCTTGAATTAAAAAATTCTTAATATTTCACTTCACCTTGTGATCACCTTGTGAACTAGAAGAGGCACTATATGGCCAGAACCAGAGCCTCTCCAGACCAGGGAGAAGAATGCTCCTAGCTGCACCAAGG